TATTTAATCTATTATTTAACACAGGACAATGGGTAAACATAAAAGAGACAGATCTAGGAGTAGATCGTCGACTAAGCGTTCTTTTAACAAAGAAATTAGAGATCTCAAGAGGAAATTGGATAAGTTGGAAAAGGAGAGAGACAGGGCTAAAAGAGATTTTTCCCGCTTCCGCGAAAGTTGTTCTCGTAATGAAACAATTTCACGAGGGAATAGAGAATGCCGTTCTCCGAGTGAGTCGGATTCTTCAAGGCGGCGGCGGCGGCGCTCCAGGTCCCAACGTCGTTCTCCCAGTGAGACGAGTTTGAATCCCGGGCGCGACACTCAAGGTCGCCGTGAAGGTCGTTCTTCGAGTAAGGCGACTTCTACAAAGCTTCCCTTTCGAAGGGAACAAGAAAGCCGCAGCCCCAGCGTCGCTCTCTCTCTCTTTACTCGTACTGACACGAGTCGCGCAGCTAATAGCGCAACTATCGATTTCGTTGGACCTGGCGGCCGTCACTCGAGTAGTGCGGCGCTTGTGGCTAGTTCTGCTGATTTTTCTCCCCGAAAAGAGGAGTCTCCTGCTCTAATCTTGCTTGATGATGCGGGCATCTCTGAAGAAATTCGACTTATTTTGGGTCCCGATCCAAACCAGCAGAAAAAGTCAACATTTAATTTACACAAGGCTGTAGAGCCAATTTGGACTCATATTTTAGGTTTTGGCCTTCCTAAAGAAGAGTGTGATGAGCTCTTCAAAAAATACGAGCTCCCTATCAATTGTAAGTTTCTTACACCCCCTCGTATTAACCCAGAGGTCGAGGCCAACTTGAATACGCTTCATTCTACCAGGGACCAAACGCATTCACAATACCAATTTCGGCTGAGCAAGGCTTTAGCTGCCCTGGGCATTTCTTTGAATGTGATTTTGGAGGAGGAGGAGAATATTCCTAGAGCTTCCAAGGATAGAATTTTATCAAGTATCGCGGATTCTGGACGCTTGCTTTGTAGCCTTTTCAACGATATTTCCCTTAAGCGACGTCAACTTATTCTTCCTCTCATGAATAAACATATCAAGACTTTAGTGGAACAAATCCCTCCTGGAGATTTTTTATTCGGGCCCGATTTAGGTGACAAGATCCAAGCCATTAAGACTATGGAAAAGGTCGGAAAGGAGATTCGTGTACCCCAGCCCCTCTACAACAGATACCAACAGAATTCAGTTGCGTTTCAGAAAAAGAAGGGAGGGGGGGCAGAGAAGTCACATACAGCTACTAGTGGTCAGTTAAACCGGAGACGCCCGACCTACCGAAAGAGAGAGGTAAGGTCACAGAGAGGGCGACTCTCGATGCCCCAAAAATCATCAATACATCAGAAATACCGTTAATGGTAGGTAATAATTTGTTTTTAGCAGGCCGTCTGCAGTTTTTTAAAAATGTCTGGAAAACAGTGACCTCAAATCCCACAGTCTTGTCTTGGGTTGAAGGTTATAAAATACCTTTTTCCAAGACCCCTCCATTTTCGGATGGTCCAATTAAACATAGTTTTTCCGCCAGCGAAATTATCCTTTTGGACGCGGCTATCAAAGAGCTTCTAACCTTAGGAGCCGTTTCAAAATGTACTAGTTTACCGGACCATTTTGTTTCGCCAATCTTTTTAACAGAAAAATCTAACGGAAAAATGCGGTTTATTTTGAATCTTAAGAAACTAAATGTCCATGTTGTTGCTCCTCATTTTAAATTGGAGGATCACAGAACGGCTCAAGGGTTATTAAGAACAGGTTTATTCATGACAACGGTCGACCTCAAAGACGCTTATTTTTCCATCCCGATTCATCCAGATTATCGCAAATATTTAAGGTTTAGATTTGATAATCAATTGTACGAATTCACATGCGTCCCTTTTGGACTTTCAGTGGCGCCTTACTGTTTCACGAAACTGATGAAACCAGTAACGTCTACTTTACGTCAACAGGGCATCCTATGTGTTAACTATCTGGATGATTTTTTCATTCTTGGGGATTCTTTCAAACAATGTTCGGATAACACACATTTGCTGGTCGCTCTGTTGGAGTCTTTGGGTTTCTTTGTCAATAAGGAAAAGAGTTCTCTAACCCCCAGCAGATCGCAAAGATTTTTAGGCTTCATTTTTAATAGCACCGATATGAAAATTAGCCTTCCATTAGAAAAGAAGCTAAATATTAAAAATTGGGCTTCACTTTTTAAGAAAACTTCCACATGCAAAATTCGAGAATTTGCAAGGTTTATTGGTTTCCTAGTTGCAGCTTGTCCAGCTGTTAAATACGGCTGGCTCCATACTAAATCTTTGGAGCGACAAAAATTCTTAGCTCTCTCTCAAAATGGCGGTGACTTTGGTGCGTCAATGTCTATTCCACTTTCCTTACTTCCGGATCTTCACTGGTGGGAAGAAATGATTTTAAACTCATTTAATAACATTAGAAACGACGTTTTTATTACTGAGATTTTTACTGACGCTTCCTTGTCAGGTTGGGGAGCATGTTGCGGCTCTGAGAAAACTCACGGCTTTTGGTCCGAATCAGAAAAGACACTTCATATAAACCTTTTAGAACTGAAGGCTGTTTTTTACGGTCTAAGATGTTTTGCAAATCTTCTTTCTAACTGTAATATTCTTCTACGATGCGACAACACCACCGCCATAGCTTACATTAACCGTATGGGCAGCGTTCGATTTCCAAAGCTCTCCAAGTTAACGAGAGAGATTTGGCAGTGGTGCGAAGTTAGGAATATTTGGATTTTTGCATCGTATATAAGCTCTGCAGACAATTTTGTAGCGGATCAAGAGTCCCGACAGATTTTCTCTGAAAATGAATGGTCATTGTCCCAAGAAGCCTTTTACCTTATAACCGACAATTTGGGAAAACCTGAGGTTGATCTTTTTGCTTCACATATTAATAACAAATGCGATAAATACGTTTCATGGCATAAAGACCCAGGATCCTTTGCTGTTGATGCATTTACCTTGAACTGGAAAGACTTAAATTTTTATGCGTTTCCTCCTTTTAACTTAGTTCTAAGGAGCCTACAAAAGATAATCCAAGACAAGGCCGAGGGCATGTTAGTGGTTCCCTTTTGGCCCTCTCAGGCCTGGTATCCACTCTTTTCCAGACTAATAATAGGGAAAAAGTTATATCTAAACCCTGCCCCTAATTTGTTGTCTTTGCCTTCTAGCAGCAATCATCCTCTGGCCTACCAACTTTCCCTGGTGGCCGCCAGATTATCCGGGAGTCTTTTTTAAGAAAAGGTGTCCCGGAGATTGCAGTGGAAACCACGATGGCGTCGATCGCGGAATCTACATTTAAACAATATAATTCAACCTACCGCCTTTGGTGGGCCTTTTGTCTGGCAGAGAAGACCCCAGTGTTTCAACCTTCGATCAAGGAGGTGGTGACCTTTCTACAAACAACTTCGGAGAAGCATAATACCAAATACGGAACTATTAATTGCCATAGATCGGCACTAAGCCTTATTTTAAATCAGGATCTAGGTTCAGATCCGATCATTAAAAGATTCATGAAAGGAATGTCTCGTTTAAGGCCTTCTCAACCAAGATATTCAAACACATGGGATCCTCAGTTGCTGCTGTCGTATTTCGAAGGTTTACCGAAGGAATTGAGCCTCCGAATGCTCTCTCAAAAGTTAATTACTCTATTGGCGCTTATTACTGGAGGTCGGCTTCAAACTCTTTCCCTGATTAGGCTCTCAAATATAAGTGAAAGTCAGGAGGAAATCCAGATTAATATCACGGATCCAATAAAAACATCAGGACTTAATAAGGAACAGCCCACGCTTCATATTCCGTTCTACAGTGAAAAGCCCAGTCTTTGCGTAGCGTCAACTTTAAAGAAGTATCTCGCAACAACAAAGCCCCTTAGAGCACCGAATCAAGACTTTTTGTTCGTCACAACTAAGAGACCTCATTCCACTGCATCTAAACAAACATTAAGCAAATGGGTTAAGCATGCCTTAGGCTCAGCTGGCATTGATACTTCAAGATTCAAACCTCATTCTACGAGGCACTCCTCTTCTTCAGCTGCTTTAAGACAAGGGGTTTCTTTAGAATCAATATGTAGAACCGTAGGATGGTCAGAGCAAACAGGGACGTTCGCTAAGTTCTACAATCGACCCCTTGGCGATAAAACTGCTTTTGCCAATGCAATCTTAAGGTTATCCAAACGACCTTGAATTATGTATAAGTGTATCTACATACATTTAATTTATACTTACCTAAGCTTTACGAAGTTATTAACTTCGATTTGTTACGTTTTCCATTTAAAGTTTTTTTTTTCTAGAATTACTTTATTTTCTGACTTAGTTTACTGTAACAATGTATCTTTATAATACATTTTTTTCACAAGATTACCTGTGTGGGGTGTTCTTCTATTCGCAACTTTTTTTCTTTGAACATCTACATGGTAAATAATCAAGATAATATATTCGGACTGGACGCGAATATAATTACGATCGAACTTCACTTAGGTAAGTTCGTTTAATCGTATAAGAATAGGTTATTTGATCAAGATACAAAATTCACTTCCCACAATAAATGGCTTGATTCCATACATTCTAATGACGGAAATTTGCTAATTCCTCATTCAATTTGACTACAAACTATGCAGATATGTACCTGCATGACTTAAGAATTGCATTGACATTCCTGCATTTTTATTCTGTGACCGTTTGTTTTTTTGTACCAGTTCATAATAAAACATAAATGTCCAGAAGGTTAACACAATAATCTGTATTCATGAAAAAAAGAAAATCCGATACATTAATCGAAAAGAGCCAAATGGACTCCATTTAATCAATAAGTTAGAACAGTTTCCAATAAATTCTTCTATCACGCAGTTCCAAATCAATTCGTACGATAAAAGAGAGAAAAGTAAAGCTCGGACGTGCAGGTGGATGTTTCATATGTGTGCACGTATAGTACATAATTAATAGATACCTATATGCCTGTTTATATTGGTTATCGCTTGGCAACGTATAAACCACAAGAAAGAAAAGAGGAATTTCTGTCAGTACGGATACGGAGGCAGCATGACTTCGTTAATTTATGAGCTGTCGTTGGTACTGATTGTATTTAGTGCAATTTCGATTAAAGAAGTTCAAAGTCAAATACAAACCATCAATGTGTGTAAGTAGACGTTCGATTACAATTGCACTTACTTGTACCATTGTGTTGTACACCTATCCTACGGTTGTGTTACATTTGTTCTCTTTATTCTGATAATTATTAGGAATTACTCTTCTTAAGATTGTCCTCATACGACTGACTGTGTGTTACGTCTTTACAATCAGAGCTTGAGGATCTTAATTTAAGTATTAAGTTATTTGACAAGTTTATGAAGTATATATGTAAATCCTACAATTTGGGATTCCGCCACGGAATAATATGCGAATAATACTGAGTACAGCGAAGGGGATTTTCACAAATAATCTCCTTTCTATCACCTATTTGTTTTAATAACGTGTCCACAAAGTTACCATATTTAGTTGATATTAATTTATTTGTAGTACTTGTTGCTCTTGCTTGTTACTACAAGGAGAAAATTGTGGACTGTTTTTCTAATATTTATCAACCGGCATTCAAAACGACTTTTATTTTTAGCAGCAAATGCTAGTGCTGATTAGATAAGTTGGCACTTGCACTTTACTAATTTGCTTTAATATTTGGTAGTTTTGTGCTAATCTACACACCAAATTTGCAAGTTTCGGAGAAAAACGGAAAAATCAAAATTTCTATTGAGAGTCTTACTATAGACTAAAACACCAACTTGTTCGTAGCGAAATGAAATGAATGCCATACCTTTGCGCTTTTGTGCTCCTGTCGTGATGATTTTGTGTATGGCCAAAGAATACTTAATAAACCGATACAACGAAATATCGAAGGATCCTCAGTATTACAATCACTTTTAACGACAATTTATTTTAATTACAAAATACGTTTTATAGTTAACAAAAATGCATCAAATTCATGTCTTGGTCATTGAGATAATGCTTTTAATCTTGTTCCCAACGATATCAGTGCAAGAAAAACGATTTTGACATATTTTGATCAAAATCCATGTGGTTGCCAAAAATAGATCAAAATTCATGTTTTGGTCAATGAGATAATGCTCTTGGTCTTTTTCCCAACGATCTTGGTGCATAAATAACGATTTTGACGTATTTTGATCAAAATCCATGTGGACTCCGAAAGATCATTTAACATCTTTGAATCTCACATATGCGGTTATCAAATGTGCACGACGTGATGCACTCTTTCAGCATCAAGATAATGCGTTAGAAAGCTTTTAAAATTCCCAATTCATGTGTAAAAAATAATTTTGGGTGCATTTTGCCCTAAGACTTTCGACCTGTACCACAGAGATGAGTTATATTGAATTATTACACATCTAAAAGCCATAGGGAATAATCTAGCGAAAGTCCGAACTCGATACATGACCTAGGGAATGAAATATGTTAATTTCTATTATATTGAGCCCGCAGTTTTTCCTGTTCCCGATTCACTGGAAGCCCTATAACTTTTGTTCCTGTTGAACCAGCGTACTGAAAATCAATAGCGTCCGTCCTTAAAATCCAAAGTACCCATACACCAAATTTCAACACAGTCGGCCACTTTTAAAAAGAGTTAGAGCGCACACGGACGGACGGACGGACGGACGACAATACAAAACTATAAAGGATCTGAGGATCCTTAATAATTACTCTTTGGTATGGTCTCGCAAACATTTATTTTGAACATCTTCTGTTTAGCCACCTTTAGATGCTCGTTTTACTCTGAATTGCGACCCACCTTTATAGTTTCGTAACAAACACAAACACTTCGATTCCTCCTTGTCGGAGAAACTCCGTGTCATGCACACTCGTATTTAGACTAAAATAACAAGTAGATACCTACCCCTAGCGAGTATAGCGAGTGCTTTCTGCTAACACAGTGATACGGACTTGCAGTTCTAATATTAAATAAAATAAAAGTTTAAATGAACAAAGCACAAACACAAAACGGGATTGAGTAAGTACACTTTATAACACAAACGAGGAAGAGGGCTATGGTTGATAGATATTAATTCCTTTCGTTGAGAATTGGTTGTGGTACGTAAAAGTTATGCACGTTTTACTTTCAAAAACAGCATCTCAAGAAATAATTCGTGGGGGAGGGAGGCCCCTTTTAAACAGCGAAATTTAATGGACGTCTGGCACACCTTCAAGGTACAGGTTACCTACTGCAATAAAAATCTAGGACTCTAGGACCATTCCCCTAGAAGTAGTTCAAAACGGCAGCAGTGGGCCCGGACGGACGGACGGACGGACGGACGGACGGACAAAACGCAAACAATAGCACATTTTTTTTAGTTCATAAAAAATGCGCTAAAAATAATATATGTGCTCCGCTTAGCTGTTAGTCAGTGATCCTTGTCAGGCCTCTTATGGAAAAGGGATAAATAATAAGACAATAATCTTTATTATATATGAAGCTGTTCTTATTTTCTTTAAGGTAAGTACCTCTTTGCCTGCAATAGGACACATATTAGTAAATAGGGGTTTAAGGCAAAACAATCCTACAAAGTGAATAGTTAAACGACATTCATTGGCATCGATAGGAAATATTCAACTTTATTAATGCAATAAACTCAATGTATAATGACCGTCAGATGCTAAAAGAAAATTAATAGCATTTTCATAAACACCCTGTATTATAATATAAGCCTAAAGCTAACTGCAATACGTTAATCTAAGGCATTTCAGGGTCAGGTCTATATATTACGGCACCCGCGGTATCCACCAACACCAACTTGGTACAAAATTTCAAGTAGGTGGTTACATCGCCTTTACATAAGCAAAGAATACTACTCTTTCACATAAGTAGAGAAAATTAAATAGCGCTTGAGCCTAAAATTCTCTTCAATAAATTTGTATGAAATATATAACGAGGCTATCAACAACAAATGGTAAAATGATAAAACTGTAACAGATTAGAACAAATTGTTCATAAAAATACCTTTAATGCTTGTGTACTAGTAGTTTGTTCGGGTCACGGATCACGGCTGTCAATCACAATGGAAATGATTGACCCTCCAGCTGATTTCTGCACGGACCGACGATAGACAGTTTTTCAACTTTAGAATCCTGGAGGGCGTGAGTTTGCGGAAAATATTCAACACTCTCGTTTTTCTTGAAAATGTGGCAAAAATCTTCGCCCGCAGTGCGACGGTGGCTCGATGGATATGATTTCTTGCTCTTGGCTTAATTTCTCTCTTCTAGATCCATCCAGTGGACCGCGTTCAACGAATGCTGATTTCTCACTATTTAGACTTACATTTGTAGGTATCGCCTTTGAAAATTCTGACCCAATAAGCACTTTATCTTACGACAAATAGTATAAATACCTACTACACGCTATTGTGTTAGCGAGGAATGATAAGGATATATTTGATTTAGTAATAACCTTTTTACACAACATTAAATTAAACATATAAGTAATAGTTATTTATGTATTAAGGGCATAATAGTGATGATTATATTCTCGAGGGCGACGAGTTAAAAAGCTCGAGGGCCTATGGCCCGAGAGCTTTTTAGTCGCCCGAGAGTATAAACATCAGTTTATGCCCGTGGTACATACACAATTTTATGTTTTACAAATAGTTTTCTTCGTCAAAATTCGTTTACAAAATAATTCATGTTTGATCGAGTATGCGTGGTTCGAATTTGTTAATGTGCTTGAAACCATCCAAACGTCAAACGTAATTTTAAATAATTCAGTTCATCGTGAATTAGCAAGAAGTTCCAGAAACTATACGAAATAAGGCCAATCTTGTGATTTAGTAGGTATTGACAATTAATAATTGACGTTTCTAATTTTCAACGATCTGCAAATAGTAAGAATGAATTACTATGGTGATCCTTAATGCCCTAGGGCATAAAGTGGTACTTTATGCCCGCGTATCACAGATATAAAATGTGCTATGATAGGTTAGTAAGACAAATAAAATTGCCTTTGTTATAGTACCCGTGTGTATCTCTGCTGTATATCCCTTTCTTCCGTGGCCTACCCGATCGGCCCCAGAACGTGAAATGGGTCTATCCTAATGTCTAATTGTGACTTATGTTTAAACCGTGGGCAAGATCCCGAAAAGACCTTATAAAAAAAAAGTTTTTTGTAAATCAACATTCGGTTACGGCGAACATATTTAACTCGCTCTCCTTGCTCTGATTTTAATTACGATGACCCTCGGATGACCCGCTTCATTTAGCTCATCCCGAATATAGGTACACACGTACTGCAGCATAAATATTAATTTACCTTTATATTTCTGACTCCCTTTTAGCAAAGGGGCCTAGTACTTCAATATTTCCTCGCTAGTAATGTGTCATTTTCCTGACTTTTATGTCACTCTGTAATTGGGCGCATGCCTGTTGAGGGCCCAAAACAAGAGAGGGATAATAAATAAATAAATAAATAAAACTATTAGTGATTTTACTATAAAACAATTACTTCAAGGCAGTATTTTTATTAGTAATGGAAAAAAGAAATTTTATTATTAAGTAGTCATCATTGAGGATAGAAACAGTGGCGCGTGCATTTCTTGTGAGAGCGCGGTGGGGTCACAGAAATATATTTTAGTTCAGTGGGTGGGGTTAGCAGGGGATAATGAATATTAATTAGCCGCGTGTTATAGGTATATAGCGCTCTGAAAGGTCAAAGTAACGCTTTTGCAAGTTACAATACAACTAGGTATAGCTATTGAAAATGTGTACCTAACTTGTGAGAAACAGGCATTAACTTGGTCCACGTCAGGCTTAAAACATAAATAACAGAGAAATCGAAAGGTCTCAAAAATTTTATTTGGGAGTAAAACACCGCATAAGTTATGCAAATCGAATACGTACTTTTGAAAAAAACTTTTATTGTCTGGTTTCACAGTATATACTTGTATACATACCAAATTTGTCGATTAGCGAAGAAACTAGTAGGTACAAAATGGGCATATTTTCCGATTTGGCAAATAGAAAAAGAGAAATAGATTTACTGCGCTTACGTCATCGTTTCGTTTCTATCTACAAATAAAACTAATTTATTCCTAAACAGAGCTGGAGAGTAATTGATTACATTTATCAGTAGGTTGTAACCAT